AAGGCTGTAATCTTTACAGAAGCAGACTGCTACATCTTTCTCCTGTGGAGCAGCTGATGGATTCCAACTGCTGACCTTTTAGTGAGCAGCCTAGCTTTTTAACCACTGTGCCACTAGAGCTCCCTACCACTGTAATAGAAGATTTAATTTCTTAAGGCTTAATTTTTCTGTGCACCAGTCCATGTAACACACCAATATTACCTGTCTTCAAACCCAGGGGATGGAGATGAAGGTTTGTCCAAGACCTGAGGGATGAGGGACATTAACAAAGCAGTGATTCCTTGATTACGAGTTGTTCCAAACCCCAACATGCTTTTGTCCCAAGTACTATCAGATGTGAAATGATTACTGTGATAGATTGAAGTTCAGCTTTCTTTAGTATTCCTGTAGATCCAGGTAGCCAATACCTGTTTCTCTCACTCGTAACCTGGGAAAATCTGTTCCCGTTAATAGAAGATTTTCATCTCCCCCTTCAGGTCCTTTTGAACGTTTACAACTGGATTTTATTGAATTACCTCCGAGTATGTCTTATCATAAGGAGCCTTGGTTGCGCAGTGGTTAAAGCACTTGGCTGCTAACCGTAAGGTCGGTTGTTCGTACCCACCAGCTGCTCCATGGGAGAAAGGTGTGGCAGTCTGCTTCTGTAAAGATTACAGCATTGGAAACCCTCTGGAGCAGTTCTACTCTGCCCTATATGGTTGCTATGAATTAGAATAGACGCAACGGGTTTGGCTTTTTGGTTTTATGTCTTATCATTATGTACTAGTTATTGCTTGCAAATTTTCTGGGTGGAATGAAGCTTTTCCATGTTGAAAAGCCGACACCCTTACTGTGGCAAAAAGGCTTCTAAAGAATGTTTTTCCTACTTGGTGGATTCCAGTCAATATTTCTAGTGATTGGGGTGCTCACTTAACTGGACAGGTTATATGGACACTAACCAAAATTCTGCACAGTAATCGGCATTATCACTGTCCATATCATCCTGAATTATCTGGTAACATCAAAAGAACCAGTGGAATCCTCAAATTAAAACTTTCCAAAATACTGGAAACTACTGGACTTCCCCGGTCCGCAGTTCTTCCATTGGCCCTTATGGTCATTTGCAGTATCCCTTTTGGAAAACATAAGCTGATCCCTTATGAAATTGTGACTGGAAGACCCATGTCTTTAGATATTGTGACTCAGTATTGTAAAGCCTTCCTGCAGTACGCTAAAAGTTATTCCCAACAAATCACGGAAACCTTCCCTGCTCCTGACTCAGAAGATCAAGTTCACCATGTCCTATCTCCAGGTAACTGGGTGTTCTGGAAATGACATAAAAGAAAAACAGCCCTTGAGCTATAGTGGAAAGGGCTTTATCAGGTTCTTTTAACTACCGACATTACTGCCAAACTGCAAGGTATTGAACTGTGAGTAAATATTTACCAGCTTACTTTGGCTCCACCTGACTCCTGGTCCTGTCTGCCAGCTGGAGACTCAAAAATCAAGCTAAACAGGAAGAGCAGTTGATAATGTCACAAGGCAGTCAGCTTCCTACCTCAATGGCAACAGATTTGTCTTTTTTTTCTAATGAGTGAGAATAGACTAGATGGCATACAACAACAACAAAAGTAGGAGGAAATGCAGCTTGGTTTAATTTTGCAATGATCGTTGAATTTATTTCCTTTGCTGCGCTGGACTGACCAAGAGATAGTGAGGGAAGTCTGGATGACAAGGCAGAATCATGTCAGTTTTCACAATCATCTGCTCACCATGGCTTTTAAGGAACAAGCAGGCAATTTATGAGATGCTTGGGAAATCTCCCCCGGAATAGGTTATTTTAAAATATCTTTTGAGGTCTCAAATGGATCAATATAACAGGTGTATAATGTTGTTGTTGTTGGTTGCCGTTGAGTGGATTGCGACTCATGGCAACCCCTCGTGTACAGAGTAGAACTTCTCCATAGGGTTTTCAAGGCTGTGACCTTTTGGAAGAAGATGGCCAGACTTGTCTTCAGAGGTAGATCTGGGTGCATTTGAACTGCCAACCTTTCAGCTAGTAGTTGAGTTGAGTGTTTAACCATGTGTACCACCCAGGGACTCTAGCTGTGTAATGTTGTTTTGTTGTTAGGTGCC